CTATAACTTATATCACTGAGGAAAAGAAGACCCTTTCTTTTCTTTTCTTTTGTGTTTTTAATGCCCCAAGGATTTTTTTTTTTTTAATGGTTTGAATGGTGAAGGTATTTTGGGAGTAATTTGTGTAAAATTTGAGATTATTTTTTTTTTAACAATCGAAAACATACATCATTTACAACAAATTAATGCATAAATTTAAAAAAAAAAAAAAAGATTTTTGAACTTACTATCTTCTATTAATAGCCACCTAATTGAATCAAATTAGGATAACAAAGGCTTTATCATGAGACAAGATAAAGATAAGAAATCACTAACATATTATATGTGCAAGTATGAAGTTTTGATTGAATTAAAATTTATTCATTTAAAAATTTTAATTTAAGGTGATTAAAAATTTAAATTTTCAAAATACCAAATAACTAATAATTTTCAATATAAAAAGTAGCTATAATAGAACACACGGTTAAATGTGTATCAAAGCTCAATCCACACTCTCCATCTCATCTCATCAAAGAATTTGATGTTTGAAAATTACTCAAATTTTGACAAAGACAATGACATGGTGGGTTAGGTTCACAAGCAAAAAACTTGTTTGAAAAATGGGCGTTCTATCCTTTTTAGCATTAATTTCATTAGTTTAATTTTTAACATCAATTTCAGTAGCTTGATTGACCAAAATATATTTTGGAAACATAATTCTCAATCATGATTTAATGCTTGACCAAAATAATTAAGAAGAAAAAAAATAAAAAAGAACGAGTCTTCTTCTCTTAAACATGTCTCAAAGTCTCACAATACCTCTTTGGAATCCAACCACTACATCATAATTGAAGAAAAAGAAAAAAGGGCAATGTCATTTACAAAAATGTTTTGGTAACGAGTAACCAACCAACATACATTGGCATTTTGGACAACTTATTGTTTTTTTCTTTTTTTTACTAAATCTCTTGATTATTCGCTAATAACCTAAATAACTCAATGGTGCATCTTCTTTTGTTGGAAGGACATTGATTGGATAATTTTTTTCCACTCAAATCAATGAACCATTGATTAGGCAACTTACTAATTCTACCACACATGACCCAACAACCCTTGATTGCAATTGGAACTGAAACTGGAACTCCCATTTTATTATTTCCATATTTATTTGATGTAACATTTGGACTTTTGTTTTTATTTTTTTATTAATATTTCTTTATCCGATAATTATCTTGAATCTTAATTAATTTGAAATCGAGTTGAATTAGATCTATAAGAGAAAAACTCTTCCAATACTTATTTCTTTATTTATAAAACTCAAATTCAAGATTTTACTTAAAAAAAATTAAATTCCTTTTACTTGACCAATAAATCGCTGGTACATTTGGATTTTCGTTTGAGGTCTCAAAGGTATTGGAAATTTTCAAACGTGACGACGTACGGAGTGCGGGTACTTCCGTACTTATAAATACTTTTACTAAGTATTATATCTAAATTATAAAAAATAATATATAATTAATATAAAAATAATAATAAATATCAAATTAAGTAATAAATATAAAAATTTTAAATTATTTTTCTGATCTATGTAACTAACTTATTATTTATACTTATATAATTGCTTATATAATTAAAATTTTATATGTATTTATTATATTTAATATTTATATAATAATAATATTTTTAAAAAGAAATAAAATACAAAAAATAAAAATAAAATTATATAAAATTTATAAACCAAACAAATCATACACTCAATAATAACAATTCATATAAATAAAAAATACATAACACATAATGATAATATTTCATGTTAAATCTTTTCTTTCTCTTAAGTTAAAAATATAAATATAAACTCACAAATTACTCCTGTTAGCTTGAATACTTAGTACAAATATTTAAGTATTTGAATAAATACTAAATTTAAAAAAATTATACCTAAAAATTTTCAAATTAAATACCAAATATTCATTTACCTCATACCTGACTTGCACCCAAAATACTCACCCCTAATCCTAGATTCATTTCATAAATCCATGAATTAACGAGGTGATTAACTAGAAGTGGGCTGAGATTAGCCACTAATGAAATTTAGGTTGATAGCAGCTTGATTTTTTAGATTATAGGCCCAATACTACAGTATCGCTCTATGACTTCACCAGTCCATTTCTTGAAGGCCCAAATAAACACCAATCCGTTTCCCGAAAATATATCCTTTCGATTTTCAATTGATCATTTTCTAAAGCTTCCTAACTTGCAACTGTGCGTTACTTTTGATGTAGGTTGTGGAAGAAAGTGAGTGACCCACTTCCACTTTTTACATCTAATGAAGACAGTTGTGAATCATTTGACCCCCCAACTGCCGCCTGAGTTGGTCTTCTTGTTGGTGAAATTGTTCTTGCTGTTGCTGTTGCTGCCTTGAACTGTCCACCCCATGTCTTAGACCCAATGTAAGGGACACTGCCCCATGTCCCCCAATATCAAGCTGGCTTCTTTGGTATGGCACAAACCCAATCAGAGATCCATCCATGCTTCTTGTTGTTGGAACGTTGAAGTCATCTCTTGAACGTTTCTCCTGGTTCCATTGATTTGCACATGCATCTCTTGTACTTACCATGTGATGCATGTCTGAGATTGAGGATACGAGCTGCCTGTTGGACATGTCATTGATAGGGGGCTTGAAAATGGCATGATCATCAGTATTTTGACGTCTGGTACCTTCACCAGTGGAATTTGTATCTGTTTTACCGGAGTTGATCTGTTTGGCTTCTGCCAAGCCTTTGCTTTCAAGCATGTGTATTTCTTCTACCATTGGTTTCCATAAACGAACTCGTGCGTTTATGAACCAGTTTGATACCTGCATTATTAAGTCACAATACAATCATTGCAAAAAAAGAAAAGCCGAATGAGTTATTGAGATTCCACATACATAATTTGCAAAGCACTGGTCCTAATGACATCACACAACAAAAAGAAGATGGTACCTGACCCCCAAGCTAAACTTCAGGACCATTGCAATGTTAAAAAGAGAGAATTTAAGCCTAGAAGATAGATAAATCTACACATAACAAGTAAATGGGCATTCGAAAATTTACCCTGCAGTCCAGACAAATTACTTGACTCCTACATGTTAATTTTACCACCAAGACTAACTCGAGAGCATTTCTTTTGTCCTTGATTAACTACGTGTTTAAGACACAATAATTAAACAATGTATACGGAGCTAACTGATTAGACTACCTGGTTTCGAGTAAGACCAGTTTGAGTGGCCAACATGTGCTTATCTGTGTCCGTGGGGTACCTAAAAAAGATTGATACAGTAAAAAAATCCACTCTAGATTACAAATTTGAGTAGGCAAATACAGAACAGGAGGGGAGACTTACGGGTGAAGAAAATGCTCAAACAGCCAAGCTCTAAGAATGGCCACGGAACTTTCTGGGAGTCCTCTCTGGGGCCTCCAGCTATGTTGTTGGGGTTCAAGGAAGCCCACATTGACCCCACTAGATTTCTGCCCCAGATACTTTAGTTTATACATGTCACCTTTATCATTGGTCATGCCAGTAGTTGGGGAGAAGAAATCCTCTCCCAATGCTCTTGAGGTGTGCTTGATCTCCTCTGAGATTGCATTCTTCAGAGATCGAAATTTCCTTCCAAGTGTCTTAAGAGCCAAGGAAATATAAGGGGTGGCTCCACCCAGACCAGCTACCGATTCGAAAGATGAAACCACCATTTGCATCTGCTGATAATATAACTTGTACCTTTTGCAAACCTTCATGGAAATGTGCAGCAGAGTCACCAAATAAGTTCTAAAGAGAGATAAGTTAAATAGGAGTATTACTATTATAATTGAGTGGCAATTAACATAAGTTTGAACAATTAAACGTAATATCCACATGCACCACTCCTTAACCCCTATTATAAGGCTAGGCCAAGAGAAGACAGATTTGATTGGGTTCTAGTAGTCTGGACCATCAGCTAGGTAAAATGATTTTGAAAGAAGTGGGAGTTACTGTTAATTGAAATGTAATTTTGACATGGACTCCTTAATAGAGGAAGCATACAATGATATTGCATCTACTAATTATTGTTCCAACATGATCAGTTAGAAGATCTTTGAATTTTTGTGTCATATCTTGGTGTGAAATGGGCCCTAAAATTCCTGTTGTTTCCCTCTCAGAAGCTAAAGTCCAAAGTGAAATTGCTCAATGCTCGTTTACTTTAACTTTCCACCCATCTACTTAACGCACCTTTTTCACAAGCAACAATGGAGTAACAACAGTAACCAAATTATTGTTGTAGTACATGTATTTCTAAACCCAGAGATCTAACCATTTAAACCATCCAAATTATACATCTTGAAACACCAAATTATAATAAAACCATCAAAGGATGAAGCTTTACCAATAAATTCATACTTCTATCAACAAGAATCAAGGCCTATAGCTAATATTGCCATCAACAAAAAGCAGAGTCCGAAACTACTTCTCAATGACAAAAATGCAACCCCCAATAATCATAGAAGATATATCATAACAGAAACAAGCCTGAGATGTGCATTTACTAGTAAATAGTTGGCGGAGAGAACTCTCAAACCACCATTTCCTTTTGAATACTGGAGCTTTATTACGAATTACGCATGCAGATTTCAGAAAAGTGATGTAACAAATTTCACACAAAAAAAGCGAAGTACAACAGTAAGAAAATATGAGCAGCATAGATTAAATGATTAGGACTAGAGAAAAACATAGGAATTAATTTCTTTACTTTTCTTTCCTCTCTTTCGGTTGGTTTCGCTAAACAAATGCTAGTGGTACTCTTAATTATAAGTAAGAGAAAGTACTTTCCTTTCCTCTCTTTTGGTTGGCTTGGCTAAAATTAAGTTCTCATATTATACCATATAGCTTACATCACATTATTTATATTACTTTCAACCTATTGGAGGTAAAAATAAGTTCCCAGTTTGTTTCTTAAGGAGTTACACGTGCAATGATGCAATGCATTAGCACCACATTGTAAGCAGTTTCCGGGTGCAGAGACTGGTATATGTAGTTAAGATGGTGTAGAAATTGCGCTTTTGGAAGCTAAAAGATTTCTATCAAAATTTTAATTGGATAATATATTCCTTGGAAATTTAAGTGCAAGGAGAAACAATACACAAGACAGAAATCAATAAAGTAGAAAAAACATATATAACCAACCTCCTCCTGCAGATATAGAAGCTTTGCCTTCTTCTGTTGGTATTGAGGCCAACTGGGCTGCTCGATGGAGCTGCTTCCAAGTCCACAGTCACCACTATTTTCATTTGAGCTATAAAATGTTGAGGATGATGCACCTGAGTTATTTCCCTTTACTGCAGCCTCCATACCAGCTGTACGGGCAGCGACCATGGAGGCTGAAGCACTAACTTCTCCAGAGATTCCCTCAGACCCCTTGCATAATTTGTCAAGCTTTGAGTTTGTCATCTCACAGAAATCTTCCAAGACCTCTTGTGCTGGCTTCAAAAATCTTGAATTCTTCAGAATAGTTGCATATCCCGTAAATGGCCCAAGAGGTCCTATATGTTGTCGGTGAATGTAAGATGAGGTTCCTACAATTTCTTGAAGACACTTACCACTGGCTTTACTAATTATTGATGATTTATCCATCGAATGCAAAGGCTTCAAAATCTTAGAATTCTGAGGATCCTCGAAATCAACAGATCTTGATTGCAAACCATTAGAAGCATATTCCTCACCCAATTGAGCGACCCACATTTTAGGAAGTGGATTAGATGAAAGAGAGAGTGCTAGCCCCTGAGTAGTAGCATCACTTGCAGGAATCCTCAGCTCGTGTTCACCCTCACCCTTCCCATGATCGACCAGCGGTCTCTCCATCCAGGGACCAGCAATATCAAGATGGAAAGAACCCGACTGATTCCCGGAGTAATCTGTTGCCCATGACCTGGGAACAGCTTCTCTAATGTTCTGCTGCAGGAGATCAGAAACCCTCTCAGGGGCCCGAGTACCAACAGAAGCTGGAGTAACAACATCCTGGAGTACTGTGCTGTTGTAAAGTAGTTGAGCTGAGGGAATATGCAAGTCACTGTAACAGTTTCTGCCATCCTGACCGCAAATCTCACTGCATGGATTGATTGAAGTAGATTGAACATCTTGATTGCTATCGTAAGCAGGGTTCAAATATCGTGTAGTGGCAGATATGTTGCTTTCCCTTGCATTATTTGACAAGACCGCCCCACCAAATAAAGGATTGTGATTGTCTTCCTTACCAGATGATCCACTTGCATAACTCATCATCCAATCACAATCCAGCTTCGAACCAACACTCTTCAAATTGTCATAACCTTGTCTGTCAGCAGGACCAACCCTAGAGGGAGCATTGAAATGGGTTAGAATTGAAGGAGACATCAAGTCTTCTGCCAGGACTAGTCTTCTGTGCTGAGCGGTTTCTATTTCTTGTTCTAGCATTTCATCCCTTTGGGCTGCTGCAGGTAAAACGTCAGAATTTGTCGAAAAATGGAGAGCACTGGAAGAAACAAGAGTTGGGTCGTAGAGTACGTTTGCATTTCTAACATTTCGAACTTGAACAAAATCTGGGTTTATCCCCGGATGGAAATCTCCAGGGTTCTGGAACAAATCATTACAACCCGGCGGATGAATTCTCAGCTTATCACGCCGGTTTTGCTGTGCCACATGCGATTCCGATCTGAACTTGTTCATATCCATACCCAATTAAAACCTATTTTTCACTTACAAAACAACTAAAGTCACCTGCGCGCAATGGATCTCCTAACCCTAGGTGGATCACTCTCAAGAGTAAAGCCGAAGCACTGTACATAAATATCCTGCAATACAATCATAAGAACAAGCCAGGCCGGAAATTTTTAACCCTGCAATCGTCCATAAACAAAACAACCATCGATGAGTATATATAAAAGTGAAATAATTGAAACAGTAAGAGACATAGTGTTTCAAGCACGAACTTTAAACAACCAAATATGTCTTCGAGATAGATATGCAGAGAGACTTTGCTTACCTAGCCCCTCTCACTTCCTACAACAAAACCGCAGATCCTTCCAGGCCGAAGCTCGCATCATTTTGCACATGCTTTTCCTCTTCTCCGCATGCACCCAAAAAAATAAATAAACTCTCAGATCCAGAAAGAAACTCAAAGAAGCATAAACACAAACCCCTTCAGAACAAAAAACCCAGAGACTCTCAAAACCACTAAGTTAAACAACCACAACTCAACGCAACCAAGAATAATACATACAGCAACAATAAACACGGTTTCACGTCAAGCACTAAAAAACCCTAATTTCACAGACGATAAACAGTTCCATCACCACTTCTAGTAAGGTTGAAGCTACTGAAATCTACGAATTATATGACTAGTTTCTGAGGAATAGATCTGGTAAAACAACATCGGAAATTCAAGCTTTAAGCGTATAAGTTCCAGTATGAATTACAGAAGTGGACATGGGTGGAGTTATAGCTTTTATATGAAGCCAAACAGGAATTTTAATATTATATATTATATTGAGTTTGATTTCCATTTCGGTGAAGTGTAATCATTCAATCAGCCAAAAAGATATACTAAAAAAAAGCTGGAAAAAGTTAGCAAACCTACCAAGAAAAAAGGATTTGTAACCGAAAAACGCAATAACAAGGATATACTGTATATATATATATATCTAACATGATGAATTTGAAAAACCAAAAAACAAAAAGTACATATGAATCACCTGTGAATGTTTAGATCGGAATTTTGGGAGGAGACGGTGAGGGGTATGATACTTGGAGGTGAATTTTCCGGCTGGAGTTGGTGGGGAGTGGATGCGAGAGAAGATAATGACATGCGACTGGAGCAATACTGGCGGTTATGCTTGACGTTTAGGCGCGGTTTAGCTTTCCGTCTCTTGTGACGGACAAATTTTGTACGATATTTGCAGAGTTCATTTCTTAACAAATTTTGCCTAACTTTTTTTAACTGTTTC